TACATGGCCCCCACTCCTCCTACATTTCTAGGAGCAAGACTCAGAGTGAGCAACCATGTTATTACTACTTAGTCTGGGTCCACTTGTGGTTGTTCTGCATGTGATTTTAGCCATTTTACACCTGTTTGTACATATTTTGGTTCCATTGTTTTAGTTATTTGGTTTATTTTTTATGTTTGTTTTGTTTTTGTTGCTTTGTATATCACTGTAGTCACTTTGTTGTCATTGGGGTTGTTTTCAGTCATTTTGTCTGTGCAATGACTTTGTGTTTTTTCTTTGTAACAGCTTTGTACATTTTTTTTCCTCATTTTGTGGATTTTGTAGTCACACTGTAGAAATTCAACTGGCTGTCCAATGTTAAGATTAACACTCACGTCACAGTTCTCTAGTCTAGGGGCCCCCTGACCCCTTGGGCCCCAGGGCCTGTGTCCGTAGATCCAATCAGTAATCCATCAATGTTTGTCAAGTTATCATTTCAGATAACAGGTCATAAGTAGTGTAAGTCATGCATAATGAATTCCTTTTAGCAGCCTTGGTATGCTAGTCAGAGTCTATGGAAGAACAGTACTTCAATCACACGACATGACTGACTGAGCCTCTTCGTAGACATACACACTGGCACAGGAACAACATTACCTGTGGCTGCAGCTTTTAATTTCTATGATGTGGATATTACCACTCACCGGTGCAGTAGTGCCCTGTGTCCTGGCAGGGTGAGGAGTTCTTCGGTTACTGGATCACACACAAATACAAAAGGAAGAAGATCATGTACAACTAAATGAGTTACAATGCAATGTCATTTGAAAAAGTAAGGAAGAGCTGGTTTTGGAAAACTCAGTCCTTTGGGGATGGAAAGCGTTGCTTTGAGGCGTCTTAATGGACAGTGGTGGTGCTGCTTCTACAGAAGAAGTAGGAAATCACACAATATCAGTTTCAGTCTGTGCTGTGCAAGAACTATGTGACATAGTAGAGGAACACTGATCAACACTTACAAATAGCCAACACTGAAGTCTGCACTGTTGTTCTGGTTTCTGAAAGGGTAATTGTGTTTTAATCATACTGTTTAATATTTTCTTGATGACTGGTATTTTGTTCATATCACAGAACGTTGAGATGGTACCTTGAAAATCTGTCCCAGAATGACTTCCTGTAAATATAACAACAAAAATTCATTCATGCAGGGCCAACATGCAGATAAACAACCACACACACATGCACTCCTACGGGCGATTTAGAGACACCAATCAACCTAAGCCGCATGTCTTTGGACTGTGGGAGGAAGCCGGAGTACCCACGCAAACACAGGGAGAACATGCAAACTCCACATAGAGAGGTCGCAAACCCGCAACCTTCTCGCTGTGAGGCAACAGCGCTAACCACCGCGCCACCATGCTGCCCTACTGCTGATTTAATGTTGATTTATATAGGGGGAATTAATTCTCACAGTAAAACTCTTGATGATCCTCATATTCTTTAAGAAGTCCTCCACAAAGCAGAGCTATTTCCATTAGTTCTAAATGTATGCAGTAACAGGTTTTTTAAATAAATGGTCATTTATTTGACATACTGTATGCATCCCTGAGTGACATCTAGTTCTTGTTTTGTCTTTATTATGCACATTTTGGATTAAATACATACCTTTTCTCTGGCCGAGGTGGTGGTTTCACCGAGTTGTCAGTGGTCTTCCTGTGGGTTAGAAAAAAACACTTCTCACCTCTAGAACCAATATTTGTTACATGCATTATTCTTAACTTTAAAGCAAAAAGCCACTAGAATCAATAGGGTTTATATTATCAATGCACTGGCACATTTTGAATTGGTAGGTACCTTTTCCTATAGATGAGCACTGCAGCTAAGATGATTATAATCAGGACAAGTGAGACAGAAATGGCTACTGGAAGAGAACTTCCCACCTGGTACATCACTGTTCCTGGTGACAGAAAAGCATTTAAGACTTATACAAATGTATGAAGGGAAATACACAACTCAGTATATGGCATAATTTCAAGACAAATACAGGACAGTTGAATCTTGTGCTCTAACCCTTGACATTGGAATTGACTGTGCTAGCTTGTTGCTTGTCACGCCAAAAAATGGCAGTACAGTTTAGGCTTTTGACTCTGTCTCCACCAGCAACCACAAAAGTGATGGTGGAGGTTATCTCATATATGCCTTGTGATGTCTCCATGTGTCTGACCTCACTGGTGAGAGTAGGGACACTCCATGTGAACACCGGAGGACATGATGGACAAGTATGCGTCACAGAACAAGAGACACTTAAAGTTGAACCAGCATCGACTTGTGCTGGAACTGGGGTCACCAATCAGTCTAAGCTGGATGTCTTTGGATTGTGGGAGGAAGCTGGAGTACCCGGAGAGAACCCAAGCAGGCACAGGGAGAACATTCACACTCCACATAGAAAGGCCACGGGTCGGCCGGGGTCTCGGATCGTGCTAATCACCGTGTCACCATGCCACTCCCTAACAAGGGTCTGTTATCTCATCATTAGCACAAATGTTCAGCTTTTTGAGAAATACTCATTTGTTTTCTGGTATAGAGTTAAAAATGAGAAAACTGATATCACGTTCCTAACTTATATGTGAATTGTAAAGCTACAGGTATAGTAGCAGCTGGTTAGTGCAGTGCCTCTGAAGCTCACATTCATTTAATCCATATAAATCAAAGCATAAATACAACACCATCATTTTATATGAGGTTATGTGCAGACTTTTTCTTAGCTCCAGAAAGCTTCTGGTTGTTGTCAGGAAGCTAACACAACATAATGTCTGAATGTAAGTGGTAACGATAGAACAGGCCTAGAGTAACTCCAATTCCACAATGAGTGTTGTATGATGACAGCAGATGTATTTAAACTTGATGTTCACACATTGACATCATTTTCATTCTCTCAGTGGCTGCAGGAGGGGAAAAGGTCACAGTGAAGGGCTGTGCCTCCACGTCAATCTGCTCAAATCCACGAATTCCTCAGCATTCAAATGTCATTGGAGCAGAAGTCAGTTGTTGTCAGGGTGACTACTGCAACAGTGCCAGCAGCACAAAGGGCTGGTCTTCTTCTCCTGGTCACACCACTGATCCATTCGGTCCTGTTCTCTTAAGTGATGGAGACAGCAGTGTCACTTTTCAGTCTTTGCATGGCCTCATAGTTCTCACACCCCTTTTCTTATCCTTTCAACTGATGAGTGAAAAGTAGAACATTTAGAAAGCAGAATATGAATATGTAATTTAGTAAAGTTAAGACTCTTTGTCTTCTGCTTCATGCAGCTTCAAAAACGCTTTAAAAAAGTTCCGTTTTCATTGAGTGTCTTTATTAAACCAAAGCCAGTTTTAATTAGCAATTTTAAACATATTCTGACATTATTGACGTGTCCAGTTTCAGCTGGTCCCGTTAGGGCTCACCACAGTGAATCATATGTTTCCACACTGATGATTCCCATGGTTTGAAATTTGGCATGTTTTTACACCAGATGCCTTTTTTGACTCAACCCTCTGTGTCTATCCGGGCTTGGGATGTTTTGATGTTACTGAAAAAAAAGCTAAATAAATAAATGTATCCAAGAGTGTATTTGTGTGTTTTCTTAGACTTTCTAAATCCTCCCTCAGTCTCATTTAAAAGTAACACCAAAAGAGACCTGCTAGACAACAAGGCCCACCACACATTTGCTTGGTTTGTTTCCTATTGTGATATTTATCCCTCAAAATAGTAGTGCGATTTTTTATTTATTTATTTTACTCCAGGAACAATTTAAGGCTCTATCATTTTACCATATCAAACAATGACAAGATGTGAATGGGCTCTAAATATCATCTGTTATGAATGGCACAGATATTATGTGATGCCTTATGTACAAACAGATTAAATCAAACATTGAGGATTTTTTTAAAGATTGTTATATAGGAAATATTATACTGGCATCAAAGTGATAAGATAAATATGTCAAACTTACTGTATGATCTAGAAAAATCTGTCTGTAAATGTTCTTAGATTTAGTGGAGGCAAGTATTTGGCTTATTAGTGAGTGTTCAGCTACTGTAGCATCATTTTTGTAAAAGCTAATGGCCCCAGAGTCTCACTCATCCTCAGTTGTTCAGCCTGTCCCCATCTTTAACTGTGTCTTGCTGGGAAATCCTGAGGATACAACAGCTATGAACAGTGTATCGCCACCTACTGGACAAAGTTTTTATAACATGCTCTTCATCAAGTTGAACAGCTTCAGACACAAGGAAGAACTCAAATGAATATGTGTATATGTTTGAAAATTAGGACGTATCTGGAGATACTTTGAATGCAGCCAAACACAGAAGCTGTTCATTTAAAAAACTGTCAGATTCAGATATGATAATAATAAGTGAAGTTTTCCATCAGTAGAGTCTTTTGGTAACACACATATGATTGTTTCATGCTTTATTTGAATATACAGTATGTTTATATACAAGGAACAAAATTATAAATGCAACACTTTTGTGTTTGTCCCCATTTTTCATGAGCTGAACTCAAAGATCTACGACTTGTTCTATGTACACAAAAGGCCTATTTCTCCCAAATATTGTTCACAAATCTGTCTAAATCTGTGTTAGTAAGCACTTCTCCTTTACCGAGATAATCCATCCACCTCACAGGTATGGCGTATCAAGATGCTGATTAGACAGCATGATTTTTGCACAGGTGTGCCTTAGGCTGGCCACAATAAAAGGCCACCGTAAAATGTGCAGTTTTATCACACAGCACAATGCCACAGATGTCTCAAGTTTTGAGGGAGTATGCAATTGGCATGCTGACTGCAGGAATGTCCACCAGAGCTGTTGAATGTTCATTTCTCTACCATAAGCTGTCTTCAAAGGTGTTTCAGAGAATTTTGCAGTACATCCTACAGGCCTCACAACCACAGACCACGTGTAACCACACCAGCCCAGGACCTCCACATCCAGCATCTCCACCTCCAAGATTGTCTGAGACCAGCCACCCGGACAGCTGCTGCAACAATCGGTTTGCATAACCAAAGAATTTTTGCACAAACTGTCAGAAATTGTCTCAGGGAAGCTCATCTGCATGGTCGTCATCCTCATCGGGGTCTCGACCTGACTGCAGTTCATCATTGTAACCGACTTGAGTGACTTGAGTGCTCACATTCATTGGCATCTGGCACTTTGGAGAGGTGTTCTGTGTGGGTGGGCGGTTTGCTGATGTCAGCGTTGTGGATCGAGTGGCCCACGGTGGCAGTGAGGTTATGGTATGGGCGGGCATATGTTATGGACAACGAACACAGGTGCATTTTATTGATGGCATTTTGAATGCACAGAGATACCGTGACGAGATCCTGAGGCCCATTGTTGTGCCATTCATCCACGACCATCACATCATGTTGCAGCATGATAATGTACGGCCCCATGTTGCAAGGATCTGTACACAATTCCTGGAAGCTGAAAACATCCCAGTTCTTCCATGGCCAGCATACTCACCGAACATGTCACCCACTGAGCATGTTTGGGATGCTCTGGATCGGGGTATATGACAGCATGTTCCAGTTCCTGCCAATATCCAGCAACTTTGCACAGCCATTGAAGAGGAGAGGACCAACATTCCTCAGGCCACAATCAACAACCTGATCAACTCTATGTGAAGGAGATGTGCTGCACTGCGTGAGGCAAATGGTGGTCACACCAGATACTGACTCGTTTTCAGACCCCCCCAATACAGTAAAACTGCACATTTTACGGTGGCCTTTTATTGTGGCCAGCCTAAGGCACACCTGTGCAAAAATCATGCTGTCTAATCAGCATCTTGATACGCCATACCTGTGAGGTGGATGGATTATCCCAATAAAGGAGAAGTGCTCACTAACAACGATTTAGACAGATTTGTGAACAAAATTTGAGAGAATTAGGCCTTTTGTGTACATAGAACAAGTCATAGATCTTTGAGTTCAGCTCATGAAAAATGGGGACAAACACAAAAGTGTTGCATTTATAATTTTGTTCAGTGTGTATTGCTCCCAGTAGTAGACCTATCACATTCACTACTCAGGTCACAACAAATGTGAGGCTTTTTTTTTAAGAATACACTCTTCTAGTTTAATATCTAAATCAACTCTCATAACATGACAGTGTATTTAAAAAATAATTTTGTTAAGGTTTGAAATTAGATGCGATGTACTTTGAATATTGCTTACAGGTAGACAAATCATATTAGCTTGGAGTTTTGTAGGCATAACACAAACAACAGATGCAACGTGAATGAAAAGCTAATTACAGTGCCTTGCGAAAGTATTCGGCCCCCTTGAACTTTGCGACCTTTTGCCACATTTCAGGCTTCAAACAAAAAGATATAAAACTGCATTTTTTTGTGAAGAATCAACAAGTGGGACACAATCATGAAGTGGAACGAAATTTATTGGATATTTCAAACGTTTTTAACAAATAAAAAACTGAAAAATTATTCAATTATTCAGCCCCCTTAAGTTAATACTTTGTAGCGCCACCTTTTGCTGCGATTACAGCTGTAAGTCGCTTGGGGTATGTCTCTATCAGTTTTGCACATCGAGAGACTGAAATTTTTGCCCATTCCTCCTTGCAAAACAGCTCGAGCTCAGTGAGGTTGGATGGAGAGCGTTTGTGAACAGCAGTTTTCAGTTCTTTCCACAGATTCTCGATTGGATTCAGGTCTGGACTTTGACTTGGCCATTCTAACACCTAGATATGTTTATTTGTGAACCATTCCATTGTAGATTTGGCTTTATGCTTTGGATCATTGTCTTGTTGGAAGACAAATCTCCGTCCCAGTCTCAGGTCTGTTGCAGACTCCATCAGGTTTCCTTCCAGAATGGTCCTGTATGTGGCTCCATCCATCTTCCCATCAATTCTAACCATCTTCCCTGTCCCTGCTGAAGAAAAGCAGGCCCAAACCACGATGCTGCCACCACCATGTTTGACAGTGGGGATGGTGTGTTCAGGGTGATGAGCTAATTCGGCCTTAATGTTATCGTTGAGGCCGTGCCAGAAGGCCGCACGTAATGGGCGGTCTTCCCAGCCGGCCTCCGTAGCAAGGACCCGAAAGTCAACAGAATAGTCCAGGACCCGCCGAGCCCCCTGACGGATGGTCATAAGCTCCCTAGACGAGAGCAAAAACAGAGTGAGGGAAGTGAGAAAGGCAGGTGCTCTAACCCTTCACATTGAAATTGACTGTGCTGGCTTGTTGCTTGTCACGGCAAAAAATGGCAGTACAGTTTAGGCTTCTGACTCCGTCTCCACCAGCAACCATGAAAGTGATGGTGGAGGTTATCTCATATATGCCTTGTGATGTCTCCATGTGTCTGACCTCACTGGTGAGAGTAGGGACATTCCATACAAATGCTCTCCATCCAACCTCACTGAGCTCGAGCTGTTTTGCAAGGAGGCATGGGCAAAAATTTCAGTCTCTCGATGTGCAAAACTGATAGAGACATACCCCAAGTGACTTACAGCTGTAATCGCAGCAAAAGGTGGCGCTACCAAGTATTAACTTAAGGGGGCTGAATAATTTTGCACGCCCAATTTTTCAGTTTTTTATTTGTTAAAAAAGTTTGAAATATCCAATAAATTTCGTTCCACTTCATGATTGTGTCCCACTTGTTGTTGATTCTTCACAAAAAATTACAGTTTTATATCTTTATGTTTGAAGCCTGAAATGTGGCAAAAGGTCGCAAAGTTCTAGGGGGCCGAATACTTTCGCAAGGCACTGTATGTAATTATATATACTTTATTTTTAAACATGAGACCAACATCGCTTTGCCCCACATAAATACTGTATTGTGTATATATATGAATGCAAAATAACGACAGCAACATGGTCCTGGAAATGTGTGTTGTCTCCAAGATGTCTTGAAGAACTTAAAAGTTGCCATATACTGGGTAATCCTGCAACACAATTTAAGCAAATTGGAATTAATTACAATAACAAAAAGCTCTCTGTAGTTTTCTGGTTGATGGATTATGAGACAACGGGCCCATGGGCACAGATTCAGTTTGTACATGGCCCCCACTCCTCAACCATGCAAGCAACCATGTGATTACTACTTAGTCTGGATCTAATTGTAGTTGTTCTACATGTGATTTTAGTCATTTTACACCTGTTTTCACTAGTTTTGTGTCCATTGTTCTAGTTATTTGGTTTATTTTTTATGTTTGTTTTTTGTTGTTTTGTATATCACTGTAGTCACTTTGAGCCCTGCGATGGATTGGCGACCTGTCCAGGGTGTACCCCGCCTTCGCCCGATTGCCGGCCGGGATTTGCTCCGGCCCCACCCGTGACCCCGTTCAGGGACTAAGCGGTAGAAAATGAATGAATGAATGAATGAATGTAGTCACTTTGTTGGCATTGGGGTTGTTTTCGGTCATTTTGTCTTTTTTCAGTGTAACAGTTTTGTACATTTTTTTTTCTCATTCTCAGATAAGTGATTGTCTGACACAGCAGCAGCAAACTCTTTTTCCAGTTCACTGCAAAACTCAGCTGGGTCAAGTGTTGTACCAGCTCCACCATGTGAGATGTAGTCTGCTATCTGGAAGGTGCCATCAGAATCAAATTGTCCAGATAAAAAAGGGCTCTAGCGCCGTCTTCATGCACTTGGAGAATGTGCGGGGGGCTGGAGAATAACAGAAGGGCAACCGGTTGTATTGGAACTGTGCATCTTGGAAAGAGAAGCACAGGAATGTCCTGTGTTTTGGGGACGATAGGCACATGAAAGTAAGCATCTCTTAGGTCAATGGATGTGAACCAGTCACACGGATGTACACACTCCAGCACCTGTTGCAGAGTGTACCCAGTTCAAATCAGTTTGTCCATCCAGCTCTTCCTGGACAGCTGTTTTTGCCACATAGGGTAGCACTCTGAAAGTGGATGTGCACTCATTTGTGGAGCATCTGTGAACATTAGCACAAGTCACTGAAGTACCCTTTCTGCCACTGTGAGGGCCAAATGTTTACTCCTCACAGCCCATGGGAGGGCAGTGGTGAAAGGGCTGTGAAGAAGAGAGCGCTGTGAGCGGAGCTTCACCATCTTTGTCGGAGAAACTCCATCACTCACACGCACCAATGGGAGGGAGGTGGGGAACCCGCAGAGGGACCAAGGCAGTGCCACTGAGTCCATCGTTGTGGAGAATCCTTTGTTAGACATGACAACAGGGAGAGAATGAACTGTGTTCAGTGCATCCCATGGCACAGCCTGTGCGAGGGGTAAGATGTGTGGTGGGGAAGTGTGTGTTTAAACAGACAGTACATACTCAGAGAAAAAGGAGAAAAGACTGTCAGGAAAGCTGTGGAGTGCTGTGGGACGGCCTGCCTGAAGGTTGTGGCTGGAGAGGGAGGAGGAGGTACAGGGAGGAGTGTGCACTGCAGCAGTGGTTGCTGGGTGCCGCGTTCTGGTGGTGTTTACCTCTGTGGCTATGTCAATCAGACCAGGGGGGCTGAGGGTGCTGCCATCCCCACGACGTGAGCCGCCTCACTCTATCCCCTTCATCAGCTGCCTGCTGCATGTGGGGGACAGCTTCCTAGAGATGCAAGCCAAAAAGTCTGTCAAGGCTTATGGAGCCTTCCAAGCAAACTCTTGCAGATCTACTCCGGCATTGGAGACATGTGCAGCTACATGTTCCATTGGATCATTGTTGCCCAGGCTTTGATGTGTGCCACAGCCACTGCCGCATTTGCTTTGCTGCTCTGTCTTGTAGAAATGACTCATCATGTCCAATTGGGGAGGAGCGGTGCCAGCCGGCAGGAGAGGAATGACCTTTCAGTCTGTCGCCTTTTTGATGATCTCCTGCAGATCGTAGAACAAAGTCCCAAAGGCCAGAAGCTGACCAATGGCAGGAGTGTGCTGCTAAGCCATAGAGAGCTTGTTTCTGCTGGTATCCATTTTGACCAGTGGATCGAGGGGAAAGCCGGGGGAGCCGGGTGACAAGGTCAAGGCGAGTCACTGGACTCCGGCCCTATGCTGAGGAACTCCAGGGGGTCATCCACCATGGGGTCATTCGCCCAGCTGCCGTCATCATCAGGATCGTGCTCCGATGCAACCCGTCGCTGTTTCTCTGCCATGGGCAAGCAAGCACAAAAGGGGCAAGCAGCCAAGGGAGGAGTGTGCTAGCTCGCCATGGTCTGCACAGAGACAGATTTCACAGTGCGGGTGTGGGTCGCTGGGCATGATGAAGTCCAGCGTTCAAAGTTCTCTGATCTTTAGACATCTCAGGAATGGCTCTTGTAGAATGGTGAAAAAGAAAACAGGGAGCTGATCTCTGGTCACATTGGCATTTATATCACCACAGCAGACCTGAGTGGGCACAGCCTAGTGCAGGGCACAGGGTGCGAGGGAAATCTCCTCAGGACTGCTCATGCACAAGGGATAAGCCCAATAATCACAGCTATTAGAGGGCTATGCCTATACGAACTGGAAACCAGATTTTGTTACCTGTGGACAGAACTAGGCTATGTGTTTCCCCTTATTTCCAGTTTTTTTTGTAAAGCTAAACTAACCAGCTGCTCGCTGTAGGTTCATATTTAAGGTGTAGGAGTGGTTTTCTTGTTCATGCCTAACTCTCCTCCAGAAAGCTACCCCCTAAAATGTAAAACTGTTAAGTGTATGACCACAGTGTGTGACATGTAGGAACTCACTCTTTATATGAAGCACTGCAAAGGCTGAGGTCTCCCCGGTATTAAACTGAGCAGTGCAGGTCAAAGGTTTTCTGTCATCACTCAGAGAGCCAATAAAGGTTAGATTTGACACTGTCTTATAGGTGTAGCTCGACATCTGTTCGGTGTGCAATGAACTCTGAAGGTCTTTGTAGTTCCACACAATGGTTGGTTTGTTTTTTTGGCACTTGTAGGAAACAGAACAAATGACACTTTTTGCCACACCCTCTGTTACCTCATCTGGTGGCTCAACCATTGTGATTTCATCGTAAGGACCTGAGTAGAAATGTGATAATGAGATTTAAAACTAAACAGGAGCAGTTTTATGCTAATTTAAATCACACATCATCTCACATTGTACTCACATTCAACATCCAGCCTGAGCTCACTTGTGGCTTTCTGACCACCAGAGTAGCTAACAGTACATTTCACACTCTGGTCCTCTTCTTGTACAGTCCAAGTTCGCTCAACTGTCCTTGCCCACATCCCATCAGGTACCAGAACGTCCACAGTGAGGTCTGCTCCACGTACATCATTTAAGGTCAGGATGGGGGGTGCAGAGATACATGTATGGTGCACAGTGCAGGACACTTTGCTCTGCTCTCCCACCGTGGGGATACCAGTGATGCTCATCTGTGGTTGCTGTGCTTGGTCTATTACAGTAAATTCAAAGCAACATGGAGATGTGGAGAATTGTATTTTAAATGTTTTTTTCTCCATCTTTTTATTGGGGCTGAATTGTCTAGAAAGAGAGAATGAATGTAACCAAATGCTTACCTGAGACAATAAGTTGAGTGGTTTTATCATAGAACGTATGACCCATGGTATGATAGGAGGTAATAGGGTTCTCATCAATCCAAGGGTAAAGTCTGTCCTGGTTGTGTGACACCTCCAGCTTCTCAATCTTAAGACTACAATTCCTCTCCCCCACAGATCCAGCCAGGCTTGTTATCCCTATATACTTACTAATAACACTTTGTCTTTGGTCATATACAGGGGGGTATCCATTGCTTTGGTACAAGTACCATATAACACGTAGGTCAGCAGGCTGGGAGTTACTGTAGGTGAATCTGCAAGGAATGATAAGACAAGAGCCTCTCATGCCTGTGATGCTGCCAGGGGTGGTGAAGGACCAACCACGAAAGTGCGTATTTCCTGTAAAAAGAAGAAACATTTGGAGCAACATTGCTAAACTTTTCTTTGTGCTAGTTTACAATCTTTCTTTCAAAATCATCCAACATTTGCTTGAGAGCCCACATTACAGATTATAATAAATAACCAACAATAGCATTAATTTTTGGTGTTTGTCCACCTGATGAATTTCAGTTCAATAGTCACTGTCCTGTTAGCTCTGTTTTGGTCTCCATCAGTTCTCTTTAGTTGATAAAAGCTCACCTATCTTAACCAGCTATTTGCTAACTCTGCCTGTCTACTGTTTAATTCTGAGTAGATAGTGTTTAAAACATTTGAGAACAGAACAATATATTTTTCTTTCTTTCAAGCATATTTTCAGAGTACATGCTCAACTCAACTCAAATCAACTTTATTTATATAGCGCTTTACCACAGCACAGCTGACCAAAGCACTTAACATATCATACAGATATAAAAACAACACATAAAAAGCTATAGACAGTAATATAAACACTAACACTACGGACAGAGTGTCATTCCTGGTCAAACGCCAATGAATAGAAGTAGGTCTTCAAATAAGACTTAAAAGTGGACAGTGAGGGGGCCTGCCTAATATAAAGCGCCAAGGCATTCCATAGGTTTGGACCTACCACAGCAAAGGCTCTGTCCCCCCTAGTTTTCCGCCTGGCCCTTGGTGCCTCCAGAAGAAGCTGATCTGCTGATCTGAGGCACCGCGATGGATTATACGGACGCAAAAGTTCCACAAGATAAGAAGGTGCCAGCCCATTTAAAGATTTATAAACAAATAAGAGAATCTTAAAACAAACCCTAAAACGCACCGGAAGCCAGTGAAGAGATGCCAGTACGGGCGTTATGTGGTCCTTCTTACGCCCCCCAACCAATAGCCGAGCGGCGGCATTCTGGACCCTCTGAAGGCGGGCAAGCCTCGATTGACCAACTCCAGCGTACAGTGCATTACAGTAATCCATGCGTGACGGAACAAAAGCATGGATCACTGTCTCCAAATGCTGCCTCGACAAA